CTATTTAGCGCATAGTTCATCGCATATGTCTTCGTACATTTTGGGGTGAAAAACTTAACTTTTTATTGGGTGGTGTGAAAAATTTAGTATGACTTCAGAACGGGGTGAAAATAACTATTTCCTTATTAATTTATCTAGAAAAAATAAAAAATTCATAACTTTTTCATCAACTGTTTGTAAATTTAAAAAAAAGAATAATATATTTATAAATTACCAACTAAAGAATATCAAATGTTTTAATATATTATTATTAAAAGAATACACCCTAAATAATAATATGTCATTATTGGTTATTTTACAATGTCAAACAGCTATAAGTTTTGAGCTATTTCAGCTAATATAATCTGCTATCTGATATCCGCTTATCTTGTTTTTCTAAATGGATCAAAGAGGGTGTTAAAATGGAAAAAAAGAAAAAATAGTTCTTTGGAATTAGAACTTTGAAGTGAGATCACAGAGGAATTGTTTTTTGCAATTTTTCATATTGACGTTGGACTCAACAAAACCATGTCCGTTTTACAGTATCAGTAGATGCAGATCTACGATTAAAGTCGAAAGAAGCTTGGGAAATCTTATAGGTACAACCAAGATTAAAAGGGGGAAGCTGCTGCTCTCGTGAACGACGATGGCGGCTTTCATGACCGTCCTAGAGTCTGATCTGAGGGCCCTTTCGGCGGAGGCTCGCCGCCGTTATCCCGCCGTCAAAGACGCCGCGGAACATGCCATCCTAAAGGTGTCTCTTGCTTTCTTGTTTTCCAATATGTGGGTTCGCAAAAGATTGCTTTTTTTTTTTTTTTAATCGTAATTTCTTGGGGAACATAGTGATATGTTATTGTTGCCCCAAAGATGAGCACTTCAATAGTTGTTTGAGGTTATAGGATTTTCTAATCGTAGCTGACAACTTAGCTGCTATGAAATTTCAGCTTAGATCACTGGCGAGCCCCAATGAGATAGCCCACAACGAGGACATTTTCAGGATATTCGTGATGGCTTGTGAGGTTAAGAATGTTAAGCTGAGTGTGATTGGCCTTTCTTGTCTGCAAAAGCTCATTGCTCATGATGCTATTGCCCCTTCGTTTCTGACGGAGATACTTACTACTCTCAAGGAAGTAAGCTGGACATTAAATTTTGCATGTTTTGTTAGTTACTTGATTTGTGGTAATACTGTATATAGCATTCTTTCCGACTTATACATTTGGTGAAGTCATTTTAGCCATATCTTCTTGAGTTTTGGTTAGTTTGAACTTTGAAGGAGATTGTATGTTAAATGGTGTTATATCTTTATTGTTAATAACCGTTCTTCTCATAGTCATTAGGAAAGAGGCGTGTTTATCTTAGTGTAAAATAATGAAAACTTTCTTCCCTATAAAGGTAGTCCCTGACCAGTTCCACAGTGGGGGGATGGGAACTGTTCATTCACCTGTCCAATTCTTGCCAAAGGGCCTTATGTCGACGAATTGGTAAAAAAAACACCAAAACCGGTGCAATGAGCTGGTTGAACCTTTCTTTTTGCCTAATGCTTAACTTAATGTAACCTTAAATACTTTTTATCTTCACAAAAGCACACATGTGACTTTAGCACATGTATTAAGTTTTTTCACGGACTAATTTAGTCACACATGTTATATGTTTTTGTATTGTTTTCTCGTGTTTGTTTATAATTTATAACTTAAAATTTAAAAAGAATTTATTGAATGGGTAGCTTCACCTATGGCTGGTCCAATTTTTAGAACCTTGCCACAAAAATGCTAACTCCAATTTTTAGAACCTTGCCACAAAAATGCTAACTACTTTTGAATTACAATTCAGCTATGGACACTATATGCATGTCTGTTTCAAAGGGTCAACCAACCATACAGTCTGCATTGATTCTATGAGCTTTTATCTTATTTTCAGTTTCGGCGAATGCATCCTTTTGAGAGGTTGCATAATATGTTATTTTTGGATGTTAGATGTGTCTATATTGCAGCAATCAGTTTTCTAAAACACTGGATGTTTCAGTTCATGTCCCTTATCCAACTTTATAATCTTTTCCAGCACGGTGAGATGGCAGATGAGAGCATTCAGCTGAAGACCTTGCAAACCATCCTAATAATATTTCAATCTCGTCTACAGCCTGATAATGAGGTGACAATAATATCATGACTCCTTATAAGCTGGTTACATTACAAATGCTATGTATTGGAGCAAGAGCATAGGATCTGCATGTGCTGTATTATACATGTGACTAGTTACATACATGAACTTTAAATTGACATGAATGATTTATTCACATCATCATTTTGTTGATTATGTCTCATGAATGTCTCATGAACTTTTGTTGATCAGTTTGTTGATTATGTCTCATGATCAGTTTCATTTTAAAAATGAGTTGTTTGTACCATGATTAATAGTTACAGAGACACTATTGGAACATATTCAGATTGTCGTTTCTTTAATTTATTTGTTTTCTCGCCAATCCACTATAATATACGACTCTCTGCTTTTTTGGCAAATGCAATCTGTGAAAAACATATTGTTATATGGATAATCAAGACAGTGCAAACTACAAAGTTCAAATGGATGAAAAAGGCACTGGGCAGGCCATGTAAAGTTGACAACTACCTGAAACATGTTATGTTCTTGTATTCGTCTAATAATCAACTTAAAAAGAGTAGTCGGTAGTGTAAAAGATTGCTATATCAGATACCAATCCAGAAAAGAATTAGTCAAATAGTCAATAGTATCAACATGACAACCGTTAGAAGCTACATTTTGCCTCTCAAAATGTGGGGCCTAGGCGATAAGGAAGCAAAAGACCATGGCCTCGGCTAACAAGAAGTCTGCAAGGCTTTAATGACTATGATTTGTATTTTGTATTATTAAACTTAAGTTTCGAGGTTATCAGACGAAGACCCTTTCTTGCTTCATGTCATTAGTGCAGGGAACTCTATAAAGTATAATAGGAGGTTATCATATGAAGACCCTTTCTTGCTTCATGTCATTAGTTCAGGGAAATCTATAAAGTTAATAGGATCTTATGGTTGTTGACAGTCTGCGATCTTGAGGCATGAGTAGGAAACACAAATGATTCTTTGATGTAAATTTGAAGTGTATGCAATACTGGAGATTTGTTGTGAATGAAAGTACAATTGCTGTTGTTGGAAAGAGTGAAAAAGACCTTTGTTGCAATCTTGTTTGTGGTTAGTGGACCTTAACTGGATAGCTTATTAAAATTACAGTTGGTAGTTATTGTTGAATTTGAGTTTTTTTTTTAAAGACTTAGCTAAAACATTGTGACACTTTGGTACTAAAGTGCAAATACAAAATATTATACAGGATGACAATCCTTCTATATATGCTGATTGATTTGATTGGAAAACAATAGAAGTCTCAGTTCTTGACTTTTGTTAAGAATGAAATCTACTGTGGAAACTGTGTAATTATGGGTTCCTAGACATAAAAATTTTAGTTATTTGTTTGATTCGGTGTGATTAAAAATCCGAAGACATCACTTTGATGATTGTACTTTAATCTCTGTGAACTCGATGTTTCATCCACTTGAGTAACCTTTAGCTAATAAAATGCCTTTGCTTCTTATAAATAAGATTATGTGACTTGACATGAGGGCTATTCATTGCATCTTTCCTTTCATGTATAGTCCAAGTTTGCATCGGTTTACTCTTTTAGACTCCATGCAAGTTAAAAATGTGGTATTACAATGGTCTGTAGACTCCAACAGACTCCAACAGGTGAGATGAAGATATACTTTTCTTGCCACATGAAATCTATTAATTATCCTGTGGAAGTTACCATTGGATATTTGTTCATTTAGCTCTTTAAAATGATATGTTCTAACAGGAGATATCTTGGCACGTCTTTAAAGGATGTTTCCAATTTACTTAATTCCATTGCCTGTTGACGTTCCTTTGTTGGCAGGAGAATACGGCTCATGCTCTTGGTATATGTCTCCGACTCCTTGAAAACAATAGGTCATCCGACAGTGTGAGAAAGTGAGCAACTATTGAATATGTTTGCACCATGAAAGCTTTTCCTCTTTTCCTTATCTTCCAGCTGTTACTATGTCTCCCTAAGAAATATTTATATAACTTTTGTTTGGGATATTATCCAGTACGGCTGCAGCAACATTCAGGCAAGCTGTAGCGTTGATCTTTGATCACGTGCTGCATGCAGAATCGCTTCCAGCAGGCAGATTTGGCTCTGGAGGATACATTTCTCGAACAAATTCTGTAACTAGTGATGTCAATCGCAACATAAAGCGCCTTGAGTATGTAACTCATTCATTTTGTTTTGATTATCATAATTGTAGTATTAACGAAAAGATTTAGAGCATCCTATCAGCATGTTGTTATATATTTGGCATTTTTGTGGCCATGAATGTTATTTTCAGGTGATGATAGAAATCATGAGTAAAATGTTGTTCCAAACACAGTTATAAAATAATTGATGCATGAACAATTAGGTTGCTGGATTTGGATGTTACTGCCGGAGGGGCATCATTAATGAGGGGCACTCTAACAGAAGCTGGGAAACTTGGACTTTGCTTGCTTGAAGACTTGACAACTCTTGCTGCAGGTGGATCTGTATGTGCTGGATTTGAATCAATATACAGCCTTTTCAGTAAAGTCAAATTTTGATATCCTTAAACTCAACTAACATGTCTCTGTTTTTTCCCCTCGTGGAACTCTAGTTGACACCCATTATTTATTAACTTTGGTTGTTCCTATGATTTTTCAGGCTATTTGGTTACATGTTGGTTCCGTTCAGCGGTCATTTGCACTTGATTTACTCGAGTAAGGAGAAAATTGTTATTGTTTATATTCTTATGTTTTAAATTGGTGGAATGGAAATCTTCGTTCAGTAAAGTACTTACCATAATAACTGTCTTCAGCTGTTTTTGGTAAGATGTAATATATTGGTTGAAGATACCTGATTGGTTGAACTTCTGATCATCTGTTTTCAATTGTTATTCAGTTGTCAGCAAGTTTTATTAAGTGGTTTCTATATAGCGATAGGCAGACTATGTCTTGGTCTCTTTGGTTGGAAAGAAAAGAAGAAACTTTAATGGCAGAGAGGAAAACCTAGAAGAAATTTGTGCTAGTCTTTAGGGTTGCACAATGGAACTTTCTATGTGCCTGATATTATTAAATAATGGAGTTGTGTGGATTGTGGTTCATTTGGCTTGTCTTAAGGTTTACATGAGTACTTGTTAATACTAGTATATACTACCAATCTGTAAAGAAAAGAAATCTTTTCATTGGTATTCGTATCTACATCTGTCATGAATCTAGTGATTATGATTGGTCATGGAAGAGGGAACGCATGCAGATGCAATTTGTTCGTAGGAAATATAGAGATTTCCCTTTCTATTTGCTCCGCACTTCTTAATGAGCTGTTGGATTTGGTTTATTGTTATTTTACTTATGTCAGCATTTAATAGCCTTTGGGAGAAACGACAGTTCATAAGATGCTTCAACTATATCTTAACAACTCTAGCAATTTTCAGGTTCATATTGTATAATTATGTAGTTCTCTTCCGGACGCTGATCCCTTTTGAACAGGTAAATATAGAACTGTATCGTGTTGAGATTTGAGTTTCTGCATATTCATTTTCATTATCTAATAGATAGTTAAAAATGACAGGTTCTGCGTCACCAAATATGCTCACTTCTCATGACATCACTTCGTACCAACTCTGAGGTAGTATTTCTAGAAAGATTTTGCAATTTCATGTGTATACGAACAATTTGCAGGTCGAGAAGTTTTCTAACATATATTCTGAATCTTATGAAGATTGAAGGCGAGATAGGGGAGCCTTACTTTCGCCGCCTAGTATTGCGGTCTGTGGCCCATATTATTAGATTCTATAGTTCATCCCTTACAACAGAATCAGAGGTATTGCATCTTGTTTGTGGTTTGCAGTTCTCTGTTACTATGTGTACATTTTTTATTTTTATATTTTTTTTTCCAAGAACAGGTGTTCCTCAGTATGTTAGTGCGGGTTATAGCTCTTGATCTACCACTGTGGCATCGCATTCTAGTCCTTGAAATTTTGAGGGTAATGCCAACAAGTCCACAAGTTTACACAGCAAAAGTGTTTTTCTGGGTATATAGTGTTTGCATCTAAGAACAAGTCGTTTCGGCTAATAGTATAACGTTTTGCAATTTCACAGGGTTTCTGTGTGGAAGCGCGCACATTGCGCATTCTTTTTCAGAATTTTGACTTGTAAGTACATGTTGCGTTACTAGTTATTACTGCTTTGATCTTTCTCTTGTAAGTTGTACCGGGAATTTTTTCTTAGAGATTTGTAAGGAGGCCTAGGGTGTTGACTTTTTCGCACTGTGTCATATCATTGACATTTAAAGCAATAATTACAAAAGAAAGACATATAGTTATTCATCATCAGAGTTTGGAGTGGGATCTAGTTTTCAATTTTTAAAATCGCTCTATTGCGAATTTCTCTCAAAGAGCACCTTATCTTTGTAAATTTATGCAAGGTAATTATGATTAATCAACTGTATCTGAACAATTCTAATTCCTTTTGTGTGTCAATATATGTCCTACACTCCTACTTTTAGAACTATTGTTTCATTACATTTTGCTTCATATTATCCAGTTTCAACAACACTCATATTTGTCTACACAAGTTTGGAATTTACCTTAGTGATCCTCACTATTTGGATTTCGCCCCGGCTCTCTGTGAGTTACACGCCTAAGATAAAGTTCAGGGCTTTGAATCTTTTTCCTGTTATGTGGAGGAATCCAAAACACATTTTTTTTTAACACCTATCTTGCTCCTTCCATTATCATGGAACTCTCCAACCAACCTTTTTGTTGATGTGATAAGCCTGCTAATTACTTGGAAAGATTTGGCCACTCTAGGATCGCGTGATAAATTCGTGAGTGAAATAGTTTCATCAAGGTTTAAAATAGCAAAAAATGTGCTGTGTATGACTTTCATACAACTTAAACAAATTGGATAAGTAATTAACTGGTTTACTTGGTTTAATGCCTCCCACTTTTTTCCTTTGACAAAAAAAAAAAAAAAAGAAAAGTTAATTTTCCTGCTTCTTATACATACATATATTATAATTTGTTATTGTTATTTCTGTATATTACAGAAATCCCAGCAACTCAAATGTGGTTGAGGGCATGGTTAAAGCTCTTGCCCGCGTTATTTCTTCTGTGCAGGTTAGAGATCCACTTCATTTCTTGATAATTTCTGTAGATGCCTTTGAGTTGTACTCTTTCAGTTTGCTAATAAATGTTTTGAATGATTGCTCTGTATATATGGGGGAGAATTATATAATTTCATTTAGCTTAAAACTTGCATTTGGGGTTGATTTAATGCTTGCGTAGATATCTTAGAAGATTGGCAACAGCTAACACTTCACGTTCATTGCATTTCCTTGATGTAATGTTGTTGAATTATAACATATTCTCACCGATCCAGAAAACAGAATTGTTTCTTCTTCTGTAAGGACTTAGGAAGTTTACTGGATCATCACGCGTAGTACAAGTTCTTGGATAGTTCTCTTCATATTGATGCAAGAAGTTGTGCTTAGATTAAGTTTGAAGGCTAGTCTCCATGCATGAGTTTGACATTGTGAGGCTGAGCGTGATGAGCTCTTTTAGAGGCTAGTAGCGAACGTCACTGCATTATCTATACTATTATAGAAGGATACTATAGCCATGCCCTAGAAACATCATCTAATGTATAGAGTGTAGAGATTGAAACGGAGTGTTGTCTCTTTAAAAATATTATACAAAGATGATTGCGTGACCATAAGTATTTGCTTGTTGGCACTACAACATGAAGTTTTGGGTTTGCTTGGTTAATAATTTCGATAATGTTTCCTTCTTGCGGAGGCCTTTTTGTTTCTGAAGTTGGTGTTTAAGTGCTTTAGACAATAAACTGCTCCTGTCCATGACGATTTTTGTTCTTTAATATTTTAGCTTTTATTTTATTCCTCTTGCATGCTGCTTTGATTGTGCAATTGTAAGTTCAAAAACCATTGTGCAAAGTTTTAATTAAAGGTTTCTATGGTTAATGTTATAGTACCTAGAAACTGGCGAGGAGAGTCTTGCTGCTGTTGCTGGAATGTTTAGCAGTAAAGCCAAAGGTAATATACACTTTCAGACCCACAAGATAGAAAAAAATTTAATGTGCAGACTAAGAAGGGAGGAGTCTAGATTGGCTAATTGCACCCTTATTTGAGTGTTCTTTAGGTATCTAAGTTTTTAATCTTATTTTATTGCATCTTCTACTACGCTGTGAAACACAAATCACATTTGATTTGAATCATGATTTCTATAAATTGCACCATACCACATTTGATTTGAATTATGATTTCTATGAATTGCACCATGTATTAGATATCCTCTACAGTATCTTTACATAGATGGTGTGACTGATACCGTTATCGAGACTGGGGTACAGTTATGCAGTAAAAGTATACCATCGTATGTCAAGGATCCAAATCACAGAAAGGTAGTTCTCTATGTAAAAAATCGCCTTCTACCTAAGTGGATTTAGAATAACAAAAAAAGTCAATATGAACTAATGAGTAATGACAGTATTCTACTTAACTCTACTTATTATAATGTAATAAGGATTAAATGTAGTAAGTATAGGGTAAAGAAGCAACAGATAAAGAAGCTCATTAAATGATTCTCTGACAGACTTATTAGGGTATGGCTCTGTCTCTCTCTCTCTTTGTGCCGTACAGGCATTTAATTGGCATTAGATTCTTTTCCAGAATAACTTTAGCTTTTGATGGATAGGAAATAAGATGGTGATTATAGTTTTATATAGTTTGTAGCAAGCCCAGATTTGTACTTCATTTAAAATGTAATGAAACTCCAATTTCTGTTTTCTGATTAAGAATCGCTATAAGAGTTAAGAGTCTGATACATATAGTAATTCATTTTACTTATCACTCAGCGATGACTGGTTTAATTCACAAAAGTTTTCAGAAATGCTATGTATCACATGGTCGATCTCCAATTCCTGGGCTGATGACTTATAGTTATCGATGACTTTCATTGAGCATGGCCGTCAAAATGATATGTGGAGCTTGGTATCATGTCAGGTATCGAGTGGAGCTTGGACACTGATGCGTCTAATGCAACTGTTTTGGTCGCAAGCGAAGCACATGCTATCAGTTTAGCAATTGAGGGTCTGCTCGGTGTCGTTTTTGCTGTTGCCACTTTGACTGATGAGGCAGTGGATGATGGTGAGGTAGGAATGTAGGAAAGATTGCCTAGTTCTGTTGCTCCATTTATTTTGTATCTCATATAAAGTGTCTTTATGAGCTACTGATTTATATATTGTATTTTCTTGGTGCAATCAGCTTGAATCCCCCAGATGTGATACTGATCCACCCGCAAAGTGTGCTGGGATAACTGCAACACTTTGTATTGCAATAGTTGATTCAACTTGGTTAACAATACTAGATGCTTTGTCCCTGATTTTGATGAAGTAAGTCAATAACTTCATGTTATGTTTTTACTATGGAATTGAAATTTGTACTGTCTGATATCTAGTCAACCACAGATCACACGGTGAGGCTATTATACTGGAGATATTGAAAGGTTACCAAGCATTCACACAGGTAGTTATATCCTCCATAAGATGTTATATCTTGTAAACAGATTCTTGTTTGAAGTTTCTGTTTCTAAATTGTAAGACAGTATTCCTCCGATCAGTTACAAATTTGCAATTGCAATGTTTTTTGAGCAATCGGTGTTACATTGCTTGCCAAACTACTCTACATATTCTATGGGTCAGCTGAGTGTCGCTGATTTTTTCACAGGCATGTGGAGTTCTTCATGCTGTTCAACCGTTAAACTCTTTTCTTGCGTCCCTTTGCAAATTCACAATTTATATCCCCAACGAAGTTGAAAAGAAGAGGTACTTTTTTTCAAAAACATTTGATGAATTTTGGTGCATTGTGATTCTAGATAAGAAATGTACCTACTCTTTGATATTGTTGCTTATGACATCCTTTAATATGTGAAGACATCTTCCTTTGAATCAATGTTGGCATTTGCTTGAACTCACGAGTATTTCCTTGCTAGTTCTTTGATCTCGTGCGACAATTATAAATTCTTTCGCTTTCATGTCAAGTAGTTTACGCTAACTTGCTGTTCTGGGAACAGGGTTGCTCACTCTACTTCTAAGTTTCATTACATTGGTATTTGGTACAGACCTGGATTTAGAGATTGCTTGTCTAGCAACATTTAGTATGGTTAAGGCTCTCAAAGCATTGAGATTCTTCGGTTAATCTTGTCTACCAATATTTAATACCATATGGTCAAGGGGCCTTTATGCAGTGAATATCTTCAGTTAATGTCCTGCTACCCGTCTCCCAACCCATCTTAGATTTATCTCTTCTAATCTTAGGAAGTTACAACACTTATCTTTTATGAAATTGCCTTTCTGTGGCTCGCCAATGGAGTATCTTATCCTCAACATCTTTAAAGTAACTGTCACACACTTCAACATACCTAGATATGAAGAAAACATTTTCTTACATTTAATGTGTGACTAACATCTTTTTATTGTAGAACGGGTTATTTAAGAGCCTATTCTTACCATTGGTTCTCTTGGGTTTCATCTCTAGCCTACCCCAACTTGCTTGGGACAAAAAGGCTATGTTGTTGTTATTGTTGTTGTTGTATTAGTTGGACTTTGCAAATCGCAACTGGTGGGTTGGTTTAAGGTGAAAATAGAACACCCAATGTATCTTTTTTCTGTTAGAAGTGGCTTTTCCAGGAGAAGTTGAACATTTGTGATATTCATTGTTCTTTCTAATGTTCTCTAGGATTTATATATGTAGCTAACCCCGTAAGTTTTGAAATCAATAAAAGATTTCTCCTAAGCATTTGCTCTTGCCGTATAGTTTGATGTTACACGGATCCTGGAATGCCAAATTGTCTCATGATTATTTCCCTTCAGAAAAAAGGGTCATTTTATATGCTGTTGTAGAAGAAAAATTTCTGAACCATTTGTTAAGTCCTTATCTGTGTTGCTATAAATTTCAAATGACTTCTAGTGGTACCATAATAACTTGAAATAACTTTGTTTACGAAGTAACTCCTCGTGGTTTCTGGTTTAAGTAGTTTAAAATTTGGGAAGTTTGGCACACTTGAGATGCTCATTTGGTGGTTTATGAGAATAATTTTCTATTCTTGTATCAAAACCAGGTTCCACCAGGTTCACCATTTGACTGTGTTAATTACTTTAGTTCATTATTTGTGACTGGTATCTTGTAAGGTTCTCAAAACCGGACCGGTCATCGAACCGATCAAGCTAGTTTCCAATGGTTCACTGGTTAGACCAGTGGTTAAATGTGTTGAACCAGTGTTTAATTTATTAATATTTTTGAATATACATAATACTTCATATAATAATATTTATATATTAAAACATGATTAATTAAATATTTATACAATTCAAAATATTCAGATGTTTAAACTAATTGATAAATAACTATACACATCCATTATATATTAAATATGTATCTTTTTCACTTCACTTCAACATACCCAGTATATTCCCAACTGGTTGGGGTTTGGGGGGTCAGTTGTATGCAGACCTTACCCTTGTAATTATACAAGGAGACTGTTTCCGTAGCGACCCAAGGTGCATTGCGTCGTTTGATATATTTTGTTTTTCTAGAAACTTCACTAATAGAAGAAGCACTAAAATTTAATTGAGTCATTTTGATCTAGTCCATTATTAGCACTATGCCAGGAGAATTGTCAATAATGACTCTTCCAGCTCCATTTCCAATGGACAAATATTAAATATGTATCTTTATTTCTAAGGGTAAGGTCTGCATACAAATGATCCCCCAGACCCCAACCAGTTGGGAATACACTGGGTGTGTTGTTGTTGTTGTTGTTTGTACCTTTATTTATATAAAATTATTTTAAAATACATAAACCGGTCTCACCGACAGACTTTTGACCGGTTCTGACCAGTTCGCTGGCAACCGGTTCATACCAGCAAACCCGACCGTGTTGACCGGTTCCCGGTCCGGCTTTGCAAACAGTGGTATTTTAAATAACAGCCACTGTGCTTTATTATTTCAGTCCTGTGAAAAAACTAGGAGATGTAACTTGTGAAGTCATAACTAACATTTTGTATAACCTTCAAATTCACCCTTTATTACGGTGCTAATGCCAAGTGTGAATATAACCTTTATCTATCTTTTTCAGTTGCAAAGTTTGGAAAGTTTTTTGTGTATTAACTGGTACGGTATGCTATTTCTTTTATGTTATGTCACACGAATAACCTATAAATGGATCGCTCAGCCCTCATTGTTATATTATGTATAAGTGTTTACTTATTTTTCTGTGTACTCACCATTCTTCAAAATGATTCCAGAATTTTAAGATTAACAATTAGCTCGTTAATATTTTATGTAGTGTTATTCTGTCGCCAAGTTCAAGACGTGCTGAACAATTAGGTGGCCAGAAGGAAAACATTGTTCTTACTTCAAAAAACGTGCAGGTACTTTCTATTTGTTTCTTTTCTAATTTTATCTTCATTTGGATATTTTCTTATATCCATTTCTCTTCTTATTTGCTCAACGTGCAGGTACTTTCTATTTGTTTCTTTTCTACTTTTATCTTCATTTGGATATTTTCTTATATCCATTTCTCTTCTTATTTGCTCAACAACTCATGATTATATTATCAATACTTGCATATGCAGGCTTTAAGAACTCTCTTCAACATTGCTCACAGGTTGCATAATGTATTGGGTCCATCATGGGTTTTGGTAGGTTAATATTTTTCATTAAAATGCTTTAAGATTATTTTCAGATTCTAGTATTTGATTTTACCGTTATGTTTTGGAGGTTTTGGAAACTCTATCTGCTCTTGATCGAGCAATACATTCTCCTCATGCGACAACACAGGTAATACTTTAAACTTATAATGGTTATGTTTGGATGAAATTTCAAGGTAACCCTATGCTGTTAAGTAATAAAGAAATCCTTTTTGAATTTAGAGTTTTTTTTTTTTCATCTCTCTTAGCTGAACCTTATTCTTTTATTTATACAAATCCCACAGTTGTTTTCTTTTCCAGCTGCATCAATTCAACTGCTGCAATTATAAAAGTATTGTCCTTATGAAGAAAATGACACAGCTTTAATAATCGAAGCTTGTATAGTATCACGACTCAAAATTGCTGATATAGTGTTTTTCCAGGCTTCATAAATTTGTCTCACTACTCAAATGATGTATACATAATTGTCCACGGATATTCTTGTTGCCCTCATAAATTCCTCTGTTCATGGCCCAAATTTGGACTTTAAATTTTGTAGGAAGTTTCAACAGCAGTCCCAAAGCTTTCTAGAGATCCATCTGGGCAATATAGTGACTTTAGTATTCTCTCTTCATTGAACTCTCAGGCAAGTTCTTTAAATTATTTTATTTCCTTACGCATTTTCTGTGCATTATATTGATTGTACTTATCTTTGCCTCTTTTCGTTCTTCCTGATCTTTTGTAGCTTTTCGAGAGCTCAGGTTTGATGCACGTGTCAGCGGTTCAATCACTTCTTTCTGCTCTTTGTCAGTTGTCACGTCAATGTATAGCAGCAACTTTGAGTAACACCGGGCAGGCATCTAATCAGAAAATTGGAAGCATTAGCTTTTCTGTTGACAGAATACTATCCATCCTCAACAATAATCTTCACAGTATGTTTGTTTACCAGTTTGTAGATATGATGTTCCTTCTGCGTCATCATTTATTAGTCTTCTACTCCCGCGTTTAGATGTGCTGCATTTCCACAGATGCATTTTTCTCCACTAGTCTCGCAAAAAGATGGTAACAGAAAATGATACTCCTATATATACCTGACTATTTACTTCCCATTTATATGCTATCTCAGTTGTTACTTTAGTTCTTTTGTATTGTACATTCATTCGTGATACAGAAGCAGTCTACTAAAAGTTGGTTACTTTTCTAATCTAAGAGGGTTGGAAGTTTATTGAAGTATCTTTTTCTACATGCCTCTCCCTAGTGAGTAGTGACCTTATCCCTCATTACCACTCTTATTAAACATGTTGTGGCGACAGGTTTATATGAGGGTGCTGTCTACATTGATAGGTTAAAAGTGTTTGTATGAAGAAAAAATAGAACAGAAACAAAATAACAAAAGCTATCTTTGATGTTTACACTGAAATGTTATTGGATAGACTTGAAAAGGTGTTTTTGATGTTATTAAATGGCACTCTTCTTGAATGAATATGTGCATGTGATTTTGCTTTGGTACTTAACTTTCATAGAGTTCCTAGAACATGTCTGTAAGTAAGAACTAAGCATTATGTGCATTAGTTATTGATTTGTCATATTCTAGCACACGTCATAGTGTTGTCTCAAAATATATCCCGATGCGTACCAAAATAGTGACACTGTGGTAACTGTTGTTGGTTTAATTTGGAACCATTTTATATCAGCCACTACTATTTTTATTTTTTATTTTTATTTTTTATTTTTTATTTTTATTTTTTATTTTATTTTTATTTTTTATTTTTAATTTTTGCCCCATTACATTGACAGGGGTGGAACCTTTATGGGATGACATCGTTGGTCATTTCCTTGAGGTAATCTCTTACGTCTTTAGCGCAAATGTGCACTCCTGTCTCCCTTGTGACACCTGTAACATGCTTTGCAGCTTGCTGATAGTTCCAATCCGCTACTACAAACTATGGCCCTTGATGCATTAGATAAATCCATATCTGCTGTCTTAGGTTCTGATCAGTTTCAGGAGAATGCTTCATCAAACTCAGTTGATGCACCGACTGATGTGAGAATTTCTCTCTTTCCTTTCTATTTCTGTCTTTTATTTCGTTCTTCTTCAATTCTTTTGTTGTTTGTGTGTTGTGCTTACCATATCGTGTCATTTAACTACTATGGAAGCTAATTATCCAATCGAAGTTGAGATCACTGGAATGTGCTGTCATCTCACCATTGAGTAACCTTTATTCTTTATCACAAATTTACGATGTTCGGCTTGGATCTGTGAAGATTCTTTTGCATGTTATAGAGGTAAATTTCCCAGTCATCTATTTCCGATTTGTTTTCCCCTTCATGGTTCACTATGCATTTCTTGGTCTAACTGCGCATTGAGCATCTATTCAGAGGCATGGGGAGAAATTGCACTTCAGTTGGCCAAATATTCTTGAAATGTTAAGGTGCTTTATTTGCTTTCTTAGTGATTCCATTTTCTGATGATTTTTGGCCACTTCTTATTAGATCGCTTGTCATATTCCAGGTCTGTAGCTGATGCATCAGAGAAAGATCTCATTGCACTAGGGTTCCAGGTGAGTGAAGTATCATAAAAGTTGGTCCTTTTATATATTTTCTTTTTTTCCTGAAGTAGTTTCTGGACAGTGTGCGAACACATAATGATAATTTAGGTGAGAAATATGCAATTTATGACACATTAAAAGGTGAATGATCGTCCTTTTAATGTCAAAACTTTGGATTTCTTCAAAATTACCTTTGAGCTGCTAGTGGAGTTTCAATTAAGACGTGCTAATATTAGATGCATAATTTCCTGGCTGTCATGCTGTATTGCTGTATCTGGACAATATTTGGCTGTACAACGACAACTGATTCAATTTCACAATGTTCAAACAGTTGAACAAACTAAACTGTTTACATAATAAAGCAAATAATTAGTGGATAGTACTGGTAACAGAATTTTAGAAAGACCACTTTCTAGTAGCCAACTTTCTCACAAGAAATCAAAAATTTTGTCTTTCCTTTTCTATTAAGAAGTGTTGATATTGCTGCCGTGATACCACGAGCATGATCCTACCAGAAATTGGTTTCGGCAATCTGATTTTGCATACACGGAATTAAAGAGAGCTAGATGTTATATTATTCTGCTGGGTTGAGATATTGTTTGCCACTAATCATTAGATAACATTGAATCATGATATTGATGAACTTCATATTTCGTATCACTTCTTGTGGACCATCCATTTTCCATGACGGTTTTCCTTTAGGATTCAGATTGTGTAGTTTTGTTTTATTAACTTGTTTAAGTCTTAGGTTCTAGTTACTATCCTGGTCCTTGTCTTCAATTTACGACTAATGAATTTTTTTTTCTTTTTTT